CAGATATTCGCTTTAGAGAAAACCTTCGAACAGACGAAATACTTGGCAGGACCGGAGCGCGCCCGGCTCGCCTACTCCCTGGGGATGACTGAGAGCCAGGTGAAGGTAGGTCCGTCCTGCGGGCTCCCGCCGCTCCCGGCCGCGGCTGCTTTCTGCCGTGTCGGTAATTACTAGCAGCCACGAACACTGCGCAGTTATGCCGTTTTTTTTTTTATTGGTTGTTGTTGTTTGTTTGTTTGTTTTTTCTTGCGGGGTGGGGGGGAGTCAGCTAGAATTTAAGTTACATTTCACTTTTGGATAGATTTGAGGGTAATTTCTACCTATTTTGTGCTTAGAGCTCTCTGCGCTGCAAATGATTTAAAATAAATAGACATATTATATTTAATATAAACCCCCATCACAACAACGACAAAAAGCCCCCCGCAGATAATTTTTTTTTAAGGGACACTTTTCCATGAGGAATCGTGTCCACTGGTACAACTTTACCTTGTGTAACCCCGCAAATTTTTTCGCAAAGCCTGTAGGTGCATCTGAATGCTGGGGTGCACCGCCAAAAATACATACAAAAGCCAAAAATACTTTTTTTCCTGGCTATTTTATTCTGTTTTCAACAAACGACTGTTCCGGGAAGCTGCTGATTTAAGCGTTGTGCAGCCCCGCAGAGCTGGGCAGGGAGCCCCCTTCCCAGGAGCTGTCCGGGGCTCTGCCTGGTGCAGGCTCTGCTCCGAGTGCCCGCAGCCCCGCGCTGCCGATGGGACGGGGTCGGCGGGGGCGGACGCGGCGGCGGGGCCGAGGCCGTGGCTGATCTGTGCCCGGTGCCGGTGCCCAGGTTTGGTTCCAGAACAGACGGACCAAGTGGCGGAAGAGACACGCGGCAGAAATGGCCTCGGCAAAGAAGAAACACGACTCGGAGACGGAGAAGCTGAAGGAGAGCTCGGACAATGAGGACGATGACGAATACAACAAGCCCCTGGACCCCAACTCAGACGATGAAAAAATCACGAGGCTATTGAAAAAGCACAAATCCACGAACCTGTCCCTCGTGAGCCCCTGCAGCACCAGCTCGGATACGCTGTGAGGGTGCGGGGCCGACGGCCGCACCGGGCAGCGCGGCAGGGGTGAGTGTAACTGGGTGTTTGAAGTGGTGTGTGTACAGCCTAAGATGTATGTGAAATGTATATATTTTTTACAGAATAAGTTATGAATTTATTTTCTTTCTCATCGATGTAAATTTCAGAGAAAATTTTTCAACTTTTTGGGTTTTGTGTCCCTGTAAGGTTTCCCGCTCTTTCCTTTAGCCTTCCTGTTAATTTGCTGCTCCTAACAATCAGGTTTTGTTACGTTTTCTATGGGTCCCAAGTCCGAGCTCAGCCACTTTGTATATAGTAAATTTCAGATTTTGTGATGTATATTTCTAGTGTAAAAACGGCAGTTTTCTTTCACTTTGTCCCTCAGTGTTTTGGCAGTTTCATTTCTCCTGCCTCTGGATTTTATGCTTAATAATACCAAAAAACCAAACCAATGCCCCAAAAAAGCACGAGAGGAAAATGGACACTTGATTTTACATTAGAATGGCTCCACACGTGTTGGAAAGACTTTGTATAAATCAATAAATTATTTAACAACCTCCTTTAGTGAGTTTCTTCCCGCGTTTCTGTGCCAGAGGCTGGGGATACCAGAGCTTCTGCAGGGTGCCCGATGCTGCTCCTCAAGGGAAAAGGAGCCGCTGCGTCCGGGGGCCGGCGGGCTGAGCCGGGAGAGCCCCGGCCCCCTTGGCACGGCCGGGCCCGCGCTGTGGGACTGCCCGTCACCCTGGAGAGGAGAGACACCCGGGGCTGAATGTGCAGCCCGAACTGCCCCTGCAGCGTTTCGTCGGCTTCGGGAAGGTGATAGGGACCGACAGGGAGAGGGGAGATGGGGCCGGGACACAGCCCATTGCGCTGCCCGAGTTCTAGCCGCTGCAAAAACCCGGGGCCGAAGTTGTTGAGATCCGCCGCGTCGGCCTGCGAGCTCCACCACCCTCCCGGGCCGTGTTTCGGCCCCACACCTGCAGCCGCACCCGCGCCCGAACCGGCTCCGCGTGGTTCCGCGGCCGCCAAAGCGCTCCCAGCCGCCCGAGCCTCCACAGTTCCCCCCTCGGCATACACGAGTTCGGGTGCGTGTGAGCCGCCCGCGTTGTTAAGATGCCTTTTTTTTCTGCTTTTGTTTATTTCTTTTTTTTTTTTTTAAGGAATGAGAACGTCTCTTTTCCCCGTGTCTCAGCCATGGCTTCGCAGCCCGAGCAAACGCAGGGAGCGGCTGCACCGCAGCCTAGCAGCCAGCGTCCGGCGCGGGCCCGAGCGCCGCGGGGCCGCGGTTCCGCAGCCGCCTTCCGCAGCGCTGGGCCCGGCGGGCGCTCCTGGCTCCCCGCACCGCGGAGGGCCCGCCCGGGCCTCCCCTGCTCGCCCCTCTCCCGGTGCCGAGGCCGCACGGCGCCCGCACCCACCGCGGCACGGCACGGGCCCGCGTCGGCGCGGTTCTGCTGCGGGACGGGGCCCGCACCTCTCCCCCTGGAGCCCCCCTCGGGTCCCGCTGTCCCCGCTCACTGTGACTGATTCCCCTTCGCTCCTGCCGGAGCAGCTCCGCGTCCCGGCGACGGCGGGGAGCCCCGGCAGGTCCCGTCTCACTGAACGGGGCCGCGCCCAGTTATGCCGCGGTTACAGAGGGAATAAACCGAGTTTAGGGTCTAGTCTGCGCCGGGCTGTGAGCACGCTGAGACCGGCCGGTGGTTCGGGCTCCTGCGGGGAAGCGGCTGGATAAAAGCACCTGCGCTCGAGGCTAGTCATTCCCACCTGCCTCTTCCCAAAGCTCTTAAACGAAATGAGCTCCGAGGGGGCTTCTCCGTCATGGGAGGAGGGGGCTCCGAGGCACCGCAGGACTGACAGCCCGGAGACGGCCCCGGGCAGGGGGCGAGCTGCCAGGAGCCGTCCCCATCCTGGGCCAGCCCGTCGCTCCTCGGCTGTCCCGGGGCTGCGGCGGGGTGTCCGCTGGCACCGGCCCGGCTCACCCCGCGCCTCCGGGGCTGTCAAAATGCAAAAGCTGCGTTTCATTAATTTCTGAGGGCTCAGTTCGGGGCATTCTCAGTAGCTCACCCCGGCAGGTAACCGGTGCACCCCCAGCAGGTTCGGGCCCTGGACGGCCCGAGGTTGGAGGCTACAGCGAGTTCATCTGCACACGGTGCTCCGGTCCCTGCTGGAAAAGGCTGGCGAGGTTTCTTTGGAAACTCGGGATAATCACGAAGGAGTTTACGGTGGCACAGTTACTGACCTGCTGAGGACTAGTACCTTGTGATGGCTCGTAAAGCTGCATCACCTTCCTCTCATCAGGGCTCCTGTACCAGCTCCTCAGTGCCTTTTACTCGGTTTGTATTGTGTTTTGATTAACACCAGAACTGCATCCTATCGGAGAAGTTTTCATGTGAAAAATACCCTTGTTAGTTGGCAATTCAAAGATTCAAAAGGTATCTCAATAAGAAATGTGACAATTTAGTAATTTCCCTGTAATCACCAAATTAAAGGGGCAGACACAGCTATGTTCACCATGATTAGTTTTATTGCTTGAGAACCAGAGTACTCATTTCTAAAGGCCTTCAGTTATCATGAGTTGAGTTCGCTTAAATAGAATTACTGTGTGGTTATAATGCAACATGGCACAGTAACAATACAGAGCTGCAGACACCCTTTGGGCAACAATACTTGCTATAAACTGGGCTGTACTGTTGAGAAAACTCTGCAAGCGGACATCAAATCATTTCCAATGGTAGTGATTTATACCAAAATCAAGCATCAATCTAATGCCATCGCGCAGTCCATGAACTCTGTAGTGTTCTAAATTAAATCAATAAAACATACATTTGTGTTTCATCAACAGACTCCCTAATCACCTTTTAATGTTGTATTTAGTGGTGGGAGGAAAATGTCTGTAACAAGACTATATTGTAGGCTGCACTGAGCTACTAACCAGGAAAATTTACAGTTGGGTTGATGGTTGGTATTTTGTTTTGTTTTTTTCTTTTTTTTCTTATTTTTTCTTTAATACTGTATAAATACAGTCTGTGTCCAATACAGTTGCTACTTGAAGCAGACAATTATTTTCTTCTCCCATGTTGTTATTGTTTCAATATAGAATATGGCACCATAAAACAGTAACAAAAGACGGACAAAAACAGTTTACAAAATTCTGGAAAGTTACACCCAAACCTAGCTAAGAACTTCACATTCAATCCTTAATATTACATAGAAAGAAGAGATTATAGGAGTAACAAAGTGAAACTGCTAATATATGTGCTATATAGTATGCTATATATCTGTATCCAGGATGGCACTGCTATATATTATTTTTTATATAAATGTTGGTTGTTGATGTACATTTAACTAAACCTGCTAAGACTCCAATACTTACTGCTGATATGGCACTCTCAAGCATTCATATTGGAAAGTATATTTAGCATAAGTTTTGGTCAGGTTTATAAATTATTTATATATCTGTGTATATATACACATACATACATATATATACACACACATATATATGTATGTATAGAAAGCAGCTGCTGTGTGATTCAAAACCATGTAACATGGCAGTATAGTAAATAAAATGAGAAAAAAAATTAAAAAATGAAAAACCAAAATACTAAAACTAAAACACAAACCATAAGCCTTGGTCAAAAAAGAAAATACCATTTAAAACCATCAATATTTCTATCTATACAATCCAATGTACAAAATCCCAAAGTGGTAAAGATATATAATGGGTATGATACCTTTCAAACTTTATAATATGCTGAAATAGCTTTTCCACATTGACAAACACTTAATAAAAGTTGAAAGTTGTGAAATCTAGAATACAGAATATCTCTGCTGTCTATTTAGAGTTTTGGCAACAGAACTGTGACATATATATAAAAAATAATTCCACATTTCTACTTGATGTCACATGAACATACAAGACAGTGAGGTATGTGAGGCGTCTCTCGAACAGAGTCCAGATGCTGAAGCATAGTGTACGATCAGCAGTCTAAAAATGTGGCACTCAGGACTGGATTTATCAATACAGCTGTTAGGATTACAGATTTCAGTGTGCTGCCTTCCCTCCTGGCTACAGTGTGGTTTCACGGAAAATCTTCTCACTTCGTAGGCATCTTTTTCCTGTTGCAGAATTGGCATTTTTTTAAAAAGAAAGATAAACACAGGGGAAATGATGTAGAAAATGTAATAGAAACGTAAAGAAAAAAGATGATATTTACCACCACATCACTGCACGACACAACACTTGTGCACATTTGCAATAGGTTTACCTGCCCCAGCAGCTATTCGAAAGGACAGGAACACAGGCTGCAGCAAGTTAGGGAAAAATAGAAGTTACATGTTTGAAACATACGTGTTTTTTCTTTTTTTTTCTTTTTTTTCTTTTTTTTTTCTTTACAGTCAGTAGTAAATACAACAAAAAATTCTCTATGACTGGAAACAAAATGTTGCAACAAGTTTTTGAATCAATCTAATTACAAAATGCATAAGGGAACAACATCATCTCCTCACAGATTTCTGCTCCCACTGAAACCTAAAGAAAATTTTCCACAGATTTCTGTGGGAAGAGGTTGAGGTCCCATACACATCTCCCTTTTGTAACAGTGCTGTACCATTTTGGTGATGAAGGAAACAAAAACTGCTGTTTCTGAACTGGCTGACCCAGAGCTTTTTGTTTACTGGATAAGTTAGTAAGTTGCTCTATTTTAAAACCTTGGATGATTCTGGACCAAATGCCCTAAGTGCATTTTTCCTTAGAAAACAATTCTCTGTCTCACAAGAACTCTGACCATGGAATTAAATAGGGATATGCATTTGTGAGTTCAGATTTGCATGTACACATGTATCCACACATACAATCACCTACTATCCCTCTCTGAATTATCATTCAAGAGTCTCAGTGCTGTTTTTAGATAGGCTTTCAGAGGTTACCTCCTACTCCTCAACTGGCTTTTTTCAAAGAAAGCAAATACTCTGTTTTATTGTATTTCTAACTTAGGTTTCCATCCGGTATCTTCAGCAAAGAAGACCACAGAATTCAGGTATTTTATTAATTTAAGCAACTGAATTTATTTATTTATAATTCTTTATCCTTTTCTATGTAATTTTTATCACTTGTATGAACATGGAACTGCCAATATATTCTTTTACTAATAAGCACCTATGCATCAACCTAGTTGAAGCTATGCTTTGAAAAGCATAGTTGATAACCCAATGAAATCACTTGTGTTCTGCTAGAAGAGTTTTAAGTGTAGAGATGGCTGCTCCTCTTCACTTGGATCATATCCTGCTTTCATTCTAGCCCCTGTCCTGCTCTTTGATTTCATACAAGCAGCCATTCTGATAGACAGACTGCAATTGAATTCGACTTTGAAACATTTTCAAGGCATTACTTAAAAATAGGGCAGAGATATAGCTGACTTACAATTAGTAGAACCTAGAGCATACATTCTCCTTCCTAATAAAAAAAATAGAAGATAAAATACTAAAATATTTAATTTAATTACCTTGTGATCCCCCATGCAGACATTTGGCCCAATGTGGTCATATATTACTATCTTCTCATCATTTTCTGACTAGTTTTAAAAAAAACAGAAAACAACAAAACACTAGTCAGTCCAAGAATTCTCCAGCTTACACACACAGAAAGGAACATTAGAAATATTGTGCAAATAGCTGAAACCAGTTTGTGAATGAATAGTAACACATCATTGTTTGGCTTCTCCATAGAAAGAATGTATAAAATGAACTTTTATGTCCAGTACTGCTTGCAATAATTTGTGCAGTTTGCCTGCATAAAAACCCCGAGATCTCTATGCCTCCTCCCTGCTGATGGGACCTTGGGAAATATTCGTGGCTAACGCTGCACTAAGTGAAATGAGTGACTCGTTGTAGTTGCATTCCAGGCTTCTGCTGCAAAATGCAGCAAGCACATTTGGCCAGTCCTTTTTTAAGAACAACACAATTTTTATTGAATTAGGCGAGATAAATGTTCTTTGAATTAAATGCAATCCATGTTGCCTTATAACAGCATTTGATTTCATCATATAGGGGATTTTAAATGTTCAGAGAGATTAATAATTATTATCAGGTTATGAGTATAATCTTTAACCATTTCTCTGAGATAAATTTCTTCATCTGAAAAAAAGCATTCAGTGATTTTAAGAAAAGCGGCAAATGACGGATGACATTCCTCTGGTCTCCATTATGAATTGCTTTCATTTTGTTCCATGTTGAACTTTACCCTTATACACTGACTTTAGCATTTTTATCTTAATGAATAATAAAATGTACTCATCTTTCTGCTGTTTGCAATAAACGTGATCTCGAGAAGCTATTCTGATTCTTTAGCACAGTACTTCAGGAATAAATACAAATACATTGCCATACAAAATGATTCCTTATTGTGCTAAACAATTTCTATAAGCTAATTAAATCTGTAATCTGCACACTCTCCAGTCTCTAATGCAACCATAGATGTGCTTTAAACTAGTTGCTGATACTAATTTATTTTGTAGGAAACAGCCAAGACTTTCTCATCTGTAATCAGTCAAGTTTGACTGGGCAATAACTTTATATAAACAGTAGCATTTAGGACTATAAAGTTAAAACTGAATTATCTTTAATGCAGTAAGGAAGCTTAAGGTCAGATTTACTTTACAGCATGGTTGTCTGCCAAAAATATAAAAACATAACCTTCTGCATTGTATGCATGAGCACTTTCCAATATTTCAAGATCATAATGCCACCAGCATCGGAAGTGGGGATACATTCATCAAAAGCGACTTGATAATTTACAAAGGCAGCATAAAATTGTGGATTTTCAACTGCATAATCTTTAGACAGATAAACAAATTACAGCAGTGCACAAGCAGAAACAATATACACTTGGCTGAGCATTCATTACTTCATGCGATCAGGCATCAGCGCAGCTCCCGAGCAGTGGGCAACCTTTGGTGGTTTAGGGCTCAGGAAGCATAAAATAACATGATGGTGAGGTAACCGACCATGGCATGATAGATGATGTTGCATGAAAGCTGTTTACAGCCCCATGTCAGTACAATCTGTAATGCCTACTGTGTAGCTGAGCACACTGTACAGTGGCAATTTGTGCACCCTATCCTTTCTCTACCTAGGAGTTAAATGCAGATTTACTACAATTTTTGTTTGAAATAAATTACAGAATTGCCTAGGCAGAAAAATAAACACTTTAATTGCCTATAAGAAAAATTAATACAGCAAAATAATGACCTGAATAGGAATATTCAATAGGTAGTTATGACTGAAAAAATTCTTTAAAAGTTCATATATATTTTTATTTTAAGGATTTGTTAGAGTGTAATCAGTTAATTAAAATTTGTTTTTACTTTTTTCACAGTTCCTTTTAAAGCTTTAAAGTATAGGTCTCTGCAGTGGAGTAAATTCTCAGTCAATGCCAACACTGCTTCTTGCGTAGAACCACAGAAACCTGGATGGTCATTTTGCCCTTTCCTCTATCAGTTTGGCATTATTTTCTAATGACTATTTTAATTAGGATTAATGGGCCAGAATGCTGGCTTGGCTTTGGGCTGGATAAACAACTCCTATGTTGGTTATAGACTCATTGAGTCAAAGACCAGTCTGGCCTCAGCAGCACCTTCACTTTGCATACGAGATTCTGGAGATGTCCCAGACTGCCTGACGATAATTTGCAAGTGCAAAGCTCCAGAGACAGAGTTATGAGCACTTTTAAAGGTGTGCTTTGAAGGATCCAGCTGATGGGGTTTCTGTTACACGGAGACTGGAAATTATAACTGACCTCACAGTTACAAACTTCTTCAGTGCTGTAACTTTGTTTTCCCTTGTTTAATTTTCTCCCATTATATCCAAGTTATAGCCCTCTAGATAATCAGAAAGAATTCCTTTCCCTCTGTACTGTTTACACTCTTCAAGCTTTTGTGTACACATCTATCTCCTTATTCATAGCTTTAAAAAAAAAATCTTCCCTCATTGGCCACTCTTTTCATGGTTTTAATCCTTTGTTCTTTAGGAATTTCATGGTCGCCAAGCACTATAGGTAACATTTTGGGTAAAGTCTCACTTTTTCACAGGATATTTTTATGTTACAAAAACAAGTAACACTGATTTTGACATTACTATTTGACTATAAAGCCTGTATTGCCCTTAGGCTTCACATTTTGTTACTGACTACTGCAGTACATGCATTGTGTAGAATTTTGGGTGATATTTCATGAGGTCATGCAGACACTTTTTATACATTAAAATGTGTGAGGAAGTGCATTGACTTGAAATTCGAGTAGCTGTGGAAAACACGTTCCCAGCCTTTCAGTGAGTTATATACTGCAAAGCAAACAGTCTAATCACGAGATAAATAACCCCAACGAGAGAGAAAAAGAAGGTTATAAACTTCAGGAGAGCAAGTTTCAAGGGTGTAATTAATTTAAACTGGGAAAAAAAAAGCCAAGAAGCAATAGAACATTGATTTACTTAGAAGATTATTTTCTGTAATTCACTCCCACTAAACTGCATTAATTATACAGGAGCACACAGACAAACACATGACTTTTGGCAATTTTGGGTTCAGTAATTCTGTTAGAGTCATACAGTCTGGTCAGCCAAAACAACCTCACTTGCAGCACATCCATTTATGCAGCCGCCCATGGCCACTGCCAGCTGGCCAGCTCAGAACAGAGAGAAGTGGGAGAGATCTCCCATCACATCCCCATTTCCTGATCTGGTCCTGGACCTCTAGAGCAGCTGGCAACCAGCGTCAGCAGGACGGGGGTCTGGGTGCCAGGAGCACACACACAGGGACAGTGGAAGCTGGCACAGGTAACCAGCTGACCCAGTCCAGTGCTCCCAAGAAATGAAGGAGGGCAAAGTGGAAAAAGAAGGAGAGAGCAAATGACAGACAAGAAAACTGAAAGGCTCCTGAACCATATTTAGATCATTTAACCTTGGACAGAACATGACCAACTAACCCTAACCCTATCTATAAACACTAAATCCCAAGAGGAATTGTATGTTCTGAAAATGTTGCACAAGCTTATCTCTGAAGCTCTAATGGAATGTCTAAATTTAGGCACCTAGTTGGTGTACCAAAGTTAAAAGCCTACCTGCTGGAGACTATCCTCATTCAGGGCACAGTGATAGATTTGGCCTATGTGGGATTTGACATATTCTTGGGAGTACCTTAGGAAATCTGTTACCACTCTGATAACTCAGGTGCCTGCAGCTGTTGCTGTTACAGGCTTTTCTCTCAATTGTGTGACTCCTGAGCCAGCAGTCCTTGTATCTGCTCCTGTCTGCATCCCTGCTGAACCCTTGGTAGGGGCAGTGTTGCTGCTTATGTCACTGTAGGGTGGACTGGGCTGGGGGACTAATGGAGACTTTTTATAGGGTTTTTATGGGGCTCTTTTATTTTCTGTTACTCTCTTTAAAGCAAGCAGTCAGTCTCCCAGTGCTGTGCATCCCTGCACAGAAGAGGCATAGGACAGAAGACAGTCAGTCATCACTGGCAGCTAAGATACCAAAAGAAGTGCTTGTAAAAGCTCATCTTTTAGTCACTGTCAGCACGTTTATGGGGACAAATCCCCCTTCTTGTGTCAAAGCACTGGAGGCATATCCCTCCATTTACTACCATGGTGTGCTGTCTCCAACTTGGCAAACTCAAGGGCAGAGTCTTCCAGCCATATCTGCCTTTGGTGCAGATAATGCAGTGTGGAGGCACCGGGGGGCTGCAGGTCTGTACTTACTTTCAGAATGAGCTCCTTGGCTGAGTGGGACATCAGGATTCTGTCGCACCAGGCTGGACATCTCGTGTTCATGTACTGCCTTCCCTGGCTAGAGTCCTCGCTGTAGGGATAACTGCAAACAAATCCCATCCACAACCATCAATGACTCTTGGCAAAGCAGCCTGAAACCTCTGGCTCAAAGGGCCATAGTACTTACAAAATGTCCCTGTTAAAAAGCAGCTCTTCCAGACACTTTTTTTTCCTCCTCCCTCTTCCTCCTCCCTTTTCATGTGCTTTTTTTTCTATGTCTCTTCTCAGATCTACAGCTCTACTGTACAGTTAAGAAGTTAAGACACACGCAGTTTCAAAACTCTCACCTCCTATCTTGTGCTTTTGTGAGAGTGTTTAAAGATAGCAAAATGTTTATCTGTGTGAAAGTACAAAAATCAGTTCAACAACAAACTGAAATTAGAAAAGAGACTATGGAAAATATACACACAGAATTTGAAAAATGAAACCTAGGGGGAAAAAAGTTCATCTTATGTGATTTCTTCACAGGATTCTCTCAAGGGAAGTTATCCATGAATAATTTAACAGAAAACAGAGTTCAGAGTGCTGGGACCACTGCAGCTATACACAAACCTCTCCTATATGGATTCTGTAAGGGTGACAGAAAGGAAGACAGGACAAGACAACAGGCTTCACAGGAGGTTTCTTCACAAGCAAGGAATCAGGAATGTGGTCCAAAGAAAGTGATGCTGACAACATAAGATCTCATACCTATGAAATTGTGTTATGGAAAAGTGTATTATTTTGTAAAGACATCTCGAATAGAAGCAGATTAAATGGTAGTTACACTCTAGGGCCATCATAAACATGCTATGACCTCTCCAGTGCATTCTAACTTATCTTCAAAGGGCAACAGAAAGTGTTTATTTTAATCTACAGAATATAACTAGAAGTAACACACTTGTGTAAGCCCATGGGCTGAGATAATCTGAAGAACCTGAAGGGCAACCTCTGGCTCAACCTCAATAAGTTGAGGCTTCAGAATTTTTCATGTCTCATCCAAATCTTCTCATCAGTTTACTAAGACAGAACTTTGCATTTGATGATGGCTCACCACGCTGTAAGGCCCACTGTTTTCTTAGACCATTTCTGAAATGGCATGTGGGAGTAGCTAAAAAGGGGTTTTGGAGAAATCCAAAGGGTTTGTAACAGGCTCAACTTTTTGAATACTGGGCCTGAATTAACTGAAGTCTGCCCTTGATAAAACTCTTAAAACCCCCAAGCATCTACATATGTATGTGTGAGCATATTTGAAAAGACATTTGCATTTTATTTTGCTCCTCACTGAATTAATAAAGGAAATACTGATGTTTTTCTGATATGTGTCTTAAAAAAAAATTTCTAGTATTGTAAAAAAAGGGTTTGCATGCTTGAAGAGAAACTTATTTACCATCCTGCTTGGTGTGATACTTTGAAACTGAGACATATAGCTTTCTACCAAATGGGTTTACAAGCTACACTGCCATTAAAAAGATTAGCCATGGCAAACATCCAAGAAAAGCATACTGAATGTATTGGAACAAACCAGTGATCTCAGTACGTTTTCCACCTCATCAAACCTAACAAGACTCATTTTCAAAACATATTATGAGAATTCAATTTGCTGCTTCACTGACATACAGAAGTACAGCTTATTTCTGAGTGTCTGTGAAATATTTTGATGATGTAATACTATATTGGTAGTAGAAGCTCTTTGTCTGCAACTTAAGGATTGACTTTTTCTCATAACCTCTTGCTTTACTTATTCCAGAACCCCACATAACTGAGGCTACTTTTTATGACATAAAGGTATAAGAATCAATCACATTTCATATAATCCTTCCTTTTACAGCATTAACTGCATGGCTTTTGAAATATGATGTCCCACACCTGGAATGATCTGTTACTGCTATGTGTTAGAGCATTAAATCCTAGAGCCTATATTCTATTAAATGGTATTTATCAATTTGTTTTATTTATCTTAATGTTTTCACAGGGTGAAAACTACTGCCAATTTTTCAAGGTCCTTAGCACTGATCACCCAGTCAAAAAGTTACTGTAGTTTACAAGTATCTTTGACAAATCAGATTTCTAATGGCTGGGACAGAGATGAAAAGAAATGCTACAAAATTGTCCAGACAAAATGGCCTGCAGGCAATAATTTAATATAATAAAGCGAGGCAAACTCTTCTTTTTATAAGAAAGAATCCTTCGAAGGAAGCAAAAAGCAAGGAGTGTTCTGTCTCACTGCACTCCAATGAATAAAGCTCCCTCCCTCCATCCACTCTGCCATGTGGAAGTCCTAATCTCAGTGAAATGCTGACACTAACATAATAAAAAATCCTAACAAGATACATGCCCCCAAAACTGGGAGAACTATAAGCTCTCCTTCATGCTCTAGAGGGGTCACAAACACTTTACAATATGCAAAATTCTTTTATAGATGGGCTCTAATAGTGGCCATAGCTAAATATGACTCAAAATTCCCAGGAGGGATTCTTTTTTTTTCTGGTGACTTTTTGGGTTGTAGGGCTATTTTAATTTATTATTGATCTAAAATAGATTTTAGCAAATAAAAGTTCTATTAGAGGTTTCTGGAATATAACTGTCACTGAAGAAGATTTTGTGAAACATGCTGCTGAATGTATACTATTCCAGAACAAAATTTTTCAAATACCATATGCCTCAGAAGTTGTTTCCATCATCCTGTTCCATAGCTAAGTGAACAGTGGCATGAACATAGTGTGACTGCTTCCAGAACCATCTGCATGCGAACTCTGAAGCTTTTGCTTGTTTGGTGTGTTTTTAAGGGTCGTGCCCCCAAGGGTACTCTGGTGCTTACATAATGTTACTCCCTTTGGATGTCTTCTCCCCAGCTGATCAGATTGAAACCCAGTCAAGAAGGAGCCTACAATGGAAGGAGCCTACAGATGCACAGGCATTTTAGGAAGCATGACGGCTCTGATGCAGCCAAACCAGAAAGACGTTGCAGAACTGAAGACTTAGGGAAAACACCCAAAGCCTCAGAAGCGGCTGCTGAGGCAGCTCTCGTTTCAGCCTCAGCCCCTGGGCGCGCGGGAGGCACCGCCGGCTGCGGGAACCGCGCGGGAGGCAGCGCTGTCCTGCCTGCTGCCGCACACAGCCACGCCCGACAGCACCCGCCACGCGGGACTCGGGAAACTGGAAACCCCATCCACGCTGGGACTCGGGAAACTGGAAACCCCATCCACGCTGGGACTCGGGAAACTGGAAACCCCATCCACGCTGGGACTCGGGAAACTGGAAACCCCATCCACGCTGGGACTCGGGAAACTGGAAACCCCATCCACGCTGGGACTCGGGAAACTGGAAACCCCATCCACGCTGGGACTCGGGAAACTGGAAACCCCATCCACGCTGGGACTCGGGAAACTGGAAACCCCATCCACGCTGGGACTCGGGAAACTGGAAACCCCATCCACGCTGGGACTCGGGAAACTGGAAACCCCATCCACGCTGGGACTCGGGAAACTGGAAACCCCATCCACGCTGGGACTCGGGAAACTGGAAACCCCATCCACGCTGGGACTCGGGAAACTGGAAACCCCATCCACGCTGGGACTCGGGAACCTGAAACCACCATCCACGCTGGGACTTGGGAAACTGGAAAATATTTCCACTTGCTGCAGCGGGGAACCAAGACAAGAGTGTGCCGATACACGCTTCCACTTGACTGTTCACTTTTTGTTCTTTCTAAGCTGGCTTCATGATTTTCCTTCTCTTTTCCTTCCTGTCAACCCCATTTCTTGACTGCTTCTTTGCCTTTAGGCATAAATAGTCTCTTAAAAATTACTGTAAATTTAAACTTGTGTACATACAAAATGCAGAACTATTCTTGTAATACCCATCTTCCAAAAGACATTAGGAATAAGACTATGATCAAGGGCAGTAAGTTCGATTTGTTTTGCTGACATCCCCAGCCTCTTTTAACACATTCACTTCAGACAAGGAACTCCCAGTTCTTAATTCAAAACCTATTTAGTAATTCTAGTCAACAGATTTTCTGATTTGTGAATTGTAGAAATTATTACAGATTTGTTAAAAACAACTGCAGGTCTGATAAAAAGAAAGTCAAGGACTCTATACCAAATAATCAAAAGTTTGAAATTCCAGTATCAATCTCCTGGTGGGGAAGTATTGTGCTTCTGTGCTTTCATCATTAGTCTTGACTACCAGGACAATGACTATGGCAGAGAAAAAGGGAAAACCAGCTCTCCCTATGCCAATAATTAGACATGAAAGAATGTATTATTTTTTTCCTTTCATTAGCATTCTGCCTCAATCACAATCTACCTTGTGTAATACACAGAAAACAGTGATCTTGACAATGAATAGGGAGTGCTCATGTAAAAATGATGACATAACAGATAAAGGCCTCTAGGTACCACTGAAACATAAATGATAAATAGATATAATACTAACACATACAGGTGCTAGAGGTAAGGTAAGGATGTACAAACTTCCATAGTATTCTGTATAGTTACACACTTTTTTACACACAGTATATTACGGCTATTTAAAAATACAAGGGGAAAATGGGGAATTCCCTGTGGAACAAATTTTAAACAGTGTTTTAAAATTTTATGCTTATAACACTATTTAAAACAGTGGCAAAGTTTTAGGAATACAGGACCTTAGCCACTCATGTTAGCATGGTAATAAAATAGCAAAAAAGAGACTGATATTTCTGTGTATTTCAGCCAGCAGAATTATACAAAATACACTTTGTGCAAGCCCCTGGATGACGCACAGACAGGCAGTTCTGGTGCATCCATGTGAAAAGCTTGCACAGTTTATTTCCACTTGTTTAGGACTTACTCTTTCTGAAGATGCAGCTTCTAGCTGCTTTTCCATCCTAATTCACAAACTTCTGTTTCAGTTGCACTTATTTAATCAGGATTACTGACAGGTGGGTTTTCTGAATAAAACTTCCAGCAACATCATTAATATAATGTTCAATACTCTTGAAATTTAACCAAACACTTTGATGAATTGGTAACTTACTCTGTTAATAAGGAGCAGGCTGTCCAATGAACTGCTGTTGTC